ACCCACTTCTATAAGTCGAAAGGAGACTGCGACCATACCAGAGGCCACAACATCTTGGTCTTCATATCTTCAATTATACAAAGTCAAGGTTAATGGCGGTCGGCTGCCAAACTACCCACTTCGTATATCTAATTTTGCGGTTTTAATGAGTCCTACCATAAATGTACTGGTTACTTCGTGTCTGAGATATGCAAAAAGGGTGAGCTTCGAAGAATCCTTTAACAGATTGATACTGACATTAGTTTCATTTCATGTGAGGGGGTGGGAGGAAGGTATTCGGAAGTTAGCCGCACCGGATACCGAAGAAGATTTGTCTTTGGCTAGTGACTGATGAATTGTGCGAAGAAAGCTGGACCAAGAAAGTCAGTTGAATGTCAACTGGCCGCTGGCCCTGACGATGTCAGTCAGGCGATGATGGACGAAAGCTGAGCACGGAGACATCGAGATCGTGGGATGGTGAGCCATCTTTTTTGCACATTTCAACGGTTACTAGTCAAGCGGAAACCTCTTTCGGTGTCCGATAATTCGTGAGAATTACCTTCAACCAACTTTTTATTGAAAATGGAAAATCACACCATACTGCTTTCAATTTTGTCGTAGGTTAAGCCTGTTTTAGTTGGCCCAAAATCGTACGTCCAACCGGAATGTGCAAAATCGAGATGCTGGCAACAGCATTTGAAGGAAGGCTCTTTAATGGACAGCAATACCGTCTGTAGAATCAAGCTAATTTACGACGAGAAATCGAGAATGCTGAGGCCCTGGCAAATGTTGTCTTGGATAAGGAGAACTTGCGCTCAAGCGAAGACGTTGTCAATGAGTGACGTCCGTTTCGAATAAACCAGTACAACTTTAGCGGCCTGGTAGTCAGGCGGCTGGGCGGACGGATAAGCAAACCGTCACGGAAATACGGCGTTTCGGCCAGATTGTACTAGAAATCCACTTGAGATGCCGCAAGCGACCGCAGATAGGCGTGCACAGTTTGCTCAGATAACGTGGGTTTAATGAAGGGGACGATCCGTGAAAGCAAAGCCTGATATCTGCAAGCATAGCAATCAGAGCTTGGGTGCTCTGCTCAATGAGGTGGTTTATAGGGCCTTGCGAAATAGTGCCTTGAGTGAAATGCACTCTGGCACTGGAACCGAGTGAAATCGGTCAACCAGAAAGATAAGGAATGGATCTACGCAATCATGAGGGGGATCCGGATTGGAGACCCGGGTCAGATTAGCCGATCGAAAGGGTGATGAGATCAGACTAGATTTAACACAAAAGGACACATTTTGACGAGAGGAATGTAAACAAGTGAGAAGTTGTGATATGGCGGCAGTGGGATAAGATGGTAAAGAGTGTATAGATAGGCCAGGACAGAAAAAGGAGTGAGTGTAACCGTTTTCGGCAGAACGTTTGTCGAGGGATTGACTGCACTTGTCTCTTTGACGAGTTCGTAGCTTGGTTCGGAGAATGGCAGCACTCACTGATGATGCCGACTACGATGCCGGCGAAAGGTTTGAGAATGTATAAAGTCCACGGTCTGATGCGGGGAATCATGACAACTACTACGGCAGACGACTTCGGAATAGGTGCGTTCTGCTAAGTCTCCCGGACAACAGAACCAGGTTGCGACAACGAGGTCGACCCACTTCGAAGAAAACTTGCGTTTCTTGGAATCTCTTGATTTACACTTGTAGAGGTTATTGAAGTAAACGATCAGATGTAGCTGGACAGACGACAAGAATCGGCTGAGACAAAACGATAGCAATCTCGTCGTTTTGCTGATATTAATATGTCTTCAGCCAAGCGCAAAAATGGAAGCAATCAAAAACAGCCGATTACGAAATACATTATATTTCAGTAGTTTATTAAGTATTATTTTTGCTTACTTGATAGATATGTGAATGGAGAGTGTAATCAATGGGCCGAGATTAAGGAAGCGACTCAACTACTCTGGTGTAGGCCATACTTATAATCACACGCATACACACACGCAAACGCTAGGCCACACTTTCTATAAATCTTTATTCACACACGCGCGCACATGCAAAGATATATATATAATATATTCTGGGGTAAGGAATTGTATAAACTGACTCGGATGTTTCTCGTAAACGGATACCCGAGAGAAGTAATACAAAGAAATATACGGGCATTGAACAACCTTGGCAGGACAAGGGTTATGTAAGAAAAATAAGGATGCAAAAAACTTTCAAAAGCGGAAATGCCTAACTTGCCGCAACCAAAGTCAAAAAATACCGCCAATAACAGGAAAATGGAACATTCCGGTGATCATGAGGGGAAAACAGCACTTTCCACAAGTTTTCTAGTGCAACATGTGAGGTTAGACAAATGGGATCACTTGGAAGTTTACTGCATAACATGCGGCGTCTGCAAACAGACGAAAAAACAGCACACGAATTAAGAAACATCAAAGGCTCTGCAGGCAAATTGATACCGAAATATCAAAATTAGCAGAACACATCGCACGGACGGGACAAGATATCAATCGAGAAGCAAAAGAAAGAAGGGCCTCATGTGTTGAAATCACAAATAACTGGAAGATTAAGGAAGTCATGGACATGCTTGCGGAAAGAAATTTAATGAAGAGGAAATTTGAAGAAGACGGAGTTGGCGATAGCTTTATCTATTGTATAAGCAACCTTGAAGAAAGCAAGGAAAAGGCAAGACGAGCAAAAGGATACGCCTGGATTAAGGACCGTTCGTCAACCAGAGGAAAAGGTGTCGCAAGTAAAAAGCGGATGAGGAACATCCGAAGAACAAGCAAGAACGTTCTCAATGAGTGTAGTCTAGTCGGGAAAACGAATTTAACTTTAGGGGAATTATGGCTGAATGATCAACAATATGAGATGTATTTACCCGATTTCGTTTAAGGTGATGAAGGACTGGTAGAAGAAGAATTTTCCCACAATGAAATGAGTTGAACTGACGTTTTCATTGAATTTCGCATAGCTTTGCTTTCCCAAAAGTTGTTCTTATCCAGATTGAAGTGGACTACAGTTTTGACCTCGCATCGGTCTTATCAACACCATCAGTGGGAGTCGAACCGCGACAGTGCAGGATGGGAGCTTTACACGCTAACCACTCGGCTACACTGCCACGAGCGCCTTTTGGGTCACAGGGCAAATGTGAATATTTAAGGAAGGCCAGGCCTTTTTGCCATATCATATTCTTTTTGGTAGAATTGTCGATGAAGAAAACGTAAATCTGCTATAAGAATCGACTACTATACTTTATTTTTCGAATAAAGTATTGTTTTCGTGATGACACAACAGTTAGGCTAAAAGTTGGTCACTTGTCTCTTTGACGAGTTGTGCTGGTGAGACACACTGATGTCTGAGAACGTACCAAATCCACGGTCCGGCGCTGAGAAGCATCATAACCACAATGACAGGGGACTTTGGACAAGGTGTTTTCAACTAAGTCGCCCTGGCAGCATGAACAAGTTGCGAAAACAAGGTCAAACAACTTCATTTTTATGACATTTTATAAAGGCAGGTAAAGTGAGGAGTGAAAATGAACGGAAAGATTTAATCACGTAGTAGGCTAGCACTGTGGCTTTCTCGGCAATAGATATTACAGAAAAGTTTTGATAGACCTACATTTTTGTGATTTGCAAAATTTTGCAAAATATTCAAACCGATGGGCACGATTACTTCTTTGTAATTTTACTGAGATTGCAGATTACCAGACTAAACAGAATATATACAGGACACAAGTCAGAGATTGAAAGCCAGCCTATTCTTTTAGTAATCATCTCGTCTTATTTTTAAATTTTCACCTACTTATAAAACAATTGGGGCTTTTTATAAATCAGGTAAACAAAGATTGCTTCAAGGCGATGAATAAACTAGCAATTTAAAAGTGAAGGACAAAGTGGTGCAATTAGCAGATGTAACCTCGTTA